GTGATAGGTTGATGGTTGGACTCAATGATCTTAAGGGTCTTTTCCAACCTTAACGCTTCTATGATTCTGTATTTTATTATGTGCAAATTATGGATGTAGGCTTTTACATAAGGATTTATAACTTGAATGCTCTTAATATTTGGATGATGGTTTACTATTGGATAATGTCAGAAGCTTCTTTTTTCATTCCTGGATATAAAACTATGTGAGTTTTGGATATATGTATTTTTCTGGCCACATATAATAAATCTTAGTCGTGTGCTATAGAAGGTAGTGATGTAGAATAGATTTTGCAATATCTTCTTTCATATTTCAGAGTTTTTATTTACTGAGATAAAGTCAGCTTGAAAAAAATAACTTCATAAATTCATTTTTTATTTAGTCTTAACTAACATAGTCTCAAACTTTTTATAGTACAGCTTTTGTAATTGAGGCCTACCTGTGTGATAAAGCTGTATCTTTAATTTGCAAATTTAAGCACATTTGGTGCAGATTTCTCTGAAGACAGTTTTTAAAAAATTTGCTTAAGAATGGGGTTAAGCTGTATCAAAATAGTACTCTTAACATATCTAGGCATATGTTAATATTATTTAGCTAACCTTTCTGACATTTTGTTAAATTAGTACCATTTTCCTTATGTAAATAATCATTATTTTGCAAGTGCCATATTTATAGTCATCTATCTGTAGGCCAGAAGTATTTTTATCAGTGAAAAATAGAACAAAGAAGTTTATGATATAAGTTGCATGGAAATAATTGATGATAAAGCATACCTTTTTGAATAAGTTCCTTGGAGTTAATGCTGGTTTGTTGTTTTGTTTTTTTTTTTTTAATAGTTTATCTGACTCGAGAAAAAGGACTCGTACAGGAAGAACTTGGCCTGCTGCAATACCACATTTGAGAAGAAGAGGTCGCTTTCCACGAAAAGCACTCCAGACTCAAAATTCAGAAATTGTAAAAGATGATGAGAGCAAGGAAGATTACCAGTATGATGAACTCAATACAGAGATACTTAACAACTTAGCAGATCAGGAGTTACAGCTCAATCATCTAAAGAACTCTATTACTAGTTATTTTGGTGCAGCAGGTAGAATAGCTTGTGGGGAAAAGTACCGTGTTTTGGCTCGTCGGGTGACACTTGATGGAAAGGTGCAGTATCTTGTGGAGTGGGAAGGAGCAACTGCATCCTGACTGTAGGACTGAACATTATGTTCACTGCACTGTCATCTGTAAGTACAGTTCATAATGCAGAGCCATGAGCGAAATGTGTCTTTAAATGTGTTTCTAAAAACAAAACAAAACCAGTTTAGCCTTAACATGTAATTGTTATCATTACAGCTCTTGTGATAAAGACTTATCTTTTTAAAATCTGATCTGAAACTTAAATTTTTTAATCTGAACATTGTTAGATTGTTTTAGGTTGGGATATTTTGGGTTAAAATTGCTTAAAAATGTGCATGGTGTTTAAAAAAAAGAAGACATTTTCTAGAGAACATTCCATGGATACAGTTATTGTGATTTAGAGAAAATATTATGTAGATAGCACAAATATTTGAAAAATTTCGGTTTGTTTTCTTACCCAAATGTTTGCAGAAATGTATTTCTATTTCAATACTTTCTAGATTTCATAAGTGCAGTGTATATAATGCCTACTGAAGACTGTAAAATACTGAAGTTTTCTTTCAAACAAAGTGTAAAAAAAAAAAAAGAAAAAAAATATATTGAGCCTGTAAATTGCTCTGTGACCAGACTTCATTGTCTTCTTAATATATTCTTTGTGTGTGTGCGTGTGCGCGTGTGTGTGTATATATACATATGTATATATGCACACACATACTTGTGCGTGTATATATATGTGTGATTGTGACCTATGCAATACAAATTATGGGATTGGGCAGCTTCTGAGAATACGTCCCATAATTCTTTTTTCAGGAATAGTTGCCAGTATTTACACAGCAGCATTTCTTCTCAGGCTTATTGGGTGCTGTTGCTTTCTATGTACTAAGGAAAAGTGTCAAACCAGTGCAGCGTGTTCTGGCAATGGGTGCAGTCATTGATGTTCATATGCTCTAGGTAATATTCCATCATTTTCCATGTGAATTAACTGTTAAATCATGCAGGATCCAAACATTTTGAAATTAACTTTACTAGAAATAACATTTAAAAGTTATTGTGGCACACTGATTGTAAATTTTGTGTCCCAGTTATAAACTAAGTTGACAGGAGTCACACACAAGATTCCTACATATCTGTAGAAACAGTCATATTTTCATAAATGTAGTATGAACAAAGTGTATTATTGCACAGGGTCAACAAACAGTTTGTTGCCATTTGAAGTAACATTACTGATTTTATTACAACATTACCTCTTTTGTTTTTATAAAATGTACCAAGTTTTAAATTGATAAGTTTATTTTACTTGTTTAAAAAAAAAAAGTCAAAAGTCTCTTGCCAGTATTAGATGTTTTTTCTTTATCTGCTACTTTTGAGGGGGTTTTAGCCAAAGAGTAAACAGAAGAATATTTTTACTTTGGTGGTTATTAACTGTACTGCATAAGGTTAGCTTTCTTACATGCTTACGGTTTACTACCAAAATAAAATTATATAACATTTATAAATGAGAGTGGTTTAAAATGTACTGCCTGCGTTAGTACTTATTTATTCCATTACTTGATTATTTGACTTTTTCTGCTCATCTTGAACATCTTGAAAAGGTGATTTTTTTTTTTTTTTTTTCCCCTGTCACCTTATAGCCAAAGGAAGCAGAGAAAGCTTTTTATCCTGTGCTTGGTTTATGGCTGGCCGGGTAATATTAGCTTTATAAAAATGCTAATTAAAAACTGCCACTTCTGTTTACCTTCACTAAAATGTGTGGGTCTTTTCTCACACCCTCAGCTATTAATTTAATGTTGCCTTGCCTATAGCTGCAATATTTTGATAACACAGCAACTTCATGTTAATTTTTGAATGTTTATATCTTGGGATAATGCAAAATGTAAAGCCTTTGTAACCTTACTCACACCACCTGTATCTGTCTTTATTGTTTCACTTTATCCAAGTCCTTTAATTCTAACTGAACACCAGCAGTATTTTTCGTAAAGTTTCATTAAAGATAAATATTGGAATGTACTTGGGGACTTGGGGGGGAGGGGGGGGGAAATATTTGCCAAACTTAAGTTGTCCATAGACTTAACTATTGTGAATGTCATTGTTTCATTTTATTATGGTGGTTGACTTAACTCTGATGTTCAGTTTGTATTTTTGGAATTGCTTTTTTTCTTAGAATTAAAAGACCAACATTAAATGTGTGTATTTTTTGAGAGAGAAGAATGAGTTTTGATTCTGTATTCTTGTGAAGTACGTACTTGGTGGCATCCTCCCATCCACTGTTTCTCTATCTCTAGCTTTCCTGTTGCTGTCCTGGAGACACTTGCCCCGCACATAAACACTAACTAGTGTTCCAGCGGTGCTTGAGGGATGCTTTGTTACAAGGTGTCATGTACTGGAAAATGCTGCAATAGTGCTGCTGAAGATACAGCTAGAGTAGTAATTAAAGCACACCTACAAATGCCTTTCTCTCATTTTATGTGAATTTCATTGTATGTAGTAATGGAGTGTCTAAAGGAAAAATACAAATGTTGCTGTACATAAGGATTTCATTTTGGTATGATTTGATCACTGTATGTATGCATGTGTGTAAATATATGTAATTCAACTTTGTTGTGGTCACTGATTTAGAACCATTTCTATGTGTATCAGATTTAATATTTTTCCATTATATATTATTTGTATTACAGTAGTATCTAGGTGAAGTCTCTCTTGAGGCCATTCTAAAAATGCAGGCATCACACGAACAAGACAGCAAAGAAATAATGGCACATTACTGGTCAGAATTGTGAAATAACTGTCCTAGTAAACTACTTGTCAAATCATTGTTCTCAACAAAATCTTCAAGAGGAATAAAAACTATGCTTTTCTATGCGTAACAGGCATTTTGAGTGAGATTACAAAGGGATTTTGAAAAAATCTCTGTGTGATATGTGAAATGAAAGTCAATATTTTGATTTAACATGAAGACAGAAATAAACCAAAAAAGGCCTTGAAGGTGAAGACAAGCAGTTTGTTGTCTAGGAAGTGGGGGGAAAGATAAGTGGATAAACAGAAAAATGGTCACGTCTTTGGAACATCCTGCTAAAGTGATCTTTAGTGTTCTATTTTAAAAGGAAATTGGTGAATTGAGATGGAATGTGCCAAGGCTGGAGATGGAGCAATAGTCAGAACACAGTGATAAGGATGAACTGGACTGGAGCATCAGTTCTGTGCGCAGAGGGCGGAGGATGAATCTTGCAAATGCTATGCAGGTAACATTTTCAGGCTTTAAATTGTGTCACTTCTCCAGTTCTCTCACATCTGCCTGAATGGAAAGTAACACTGCAGTTCAGGGTATGATGGTAGCAAAAGATGTTTTCTAGAAATGGAGAAAAGGGTTTAGGATGGTGAGTTGTGTTTGGTTGATGCTGAACTTAAGCTGATGGCTAAACACCCATGTGGAGGTATCTGATCTACTGAGATCCTAGTTTGGTCAGAAAAACAGTAATGTGTGACAAAAAAAAAAAAAATCTAAGTTGTCAGCCTAAATTTTGTAGAAAAGTTGATTTCTTTTTTTGTAAATTAGATCATCTATAGATGAGGTATAAAGAAAAGAAAGACAGGGGAAAAGAGATTCCTTTGGAGTCCCTGAAGAAAGTTGAAAGGGGAATGACCATTTTCTAGAAAAGATGGTGCAGGACAATGGAAAGAAAAGCAAAAGATGAGTACGAGTAGAAGCTGTGCACAGTCTGAGAATGAGCTTGGAATTCAATGCTTTTGCTGGTCTTTCCCTCCTATCATTCAGCAACAATGAAGCAGAAGATTTTGTATTGTCCTGATGTTTTTATCTGTTTTACGTTTATGAATCCCTTAATGTTCCTCTCTGCTAGCTCATATCTGCTATTTTTAATCAGATTTTTTCGTATTTCAGCATCGAGATCCATATATCATAACATAGAGTTGTTCAGGTTTTCATTGATACCAAAATATTTTGCCTTGCAGATACTATTTTTTCAAATACAGCTGTAGCTCATACAGTTCTCTTCATATCATCTTTCTCCTAATCTGTTCACTGATATTATTTCACCAGTGTGTATTTTTTCCCACTTGTTCCAATTTATATTTTTGAGCTTCTGAATTTGACAATATTCTGTTCTGTTCCCATTATTAGCTCTTTTGTGTTTGCCATTGATTGACTTCCATGTGGTTTTGGTTTCCTAGTCTTCTGTTTACCTAGTGTCCAGTGTGGTGGCATTGACTTGCATCTTGACATCTGCAGTCTTACTCTAATAAGCTCATTTGCTTCAAAACCTGCTTTATAGCAAGAAACTAATTAATAGTTCTGTCTTGCTCTAAATAAAGTTTGTTCTTCTGTAAGCACCATTTCAAAGTACTTCATTTGTGCTCTGCCATTCCCTAATGAATATTCATAAAACTCGCTATTATTGCGTTCACTCGTGTCATCATCCAATGTGATAGTTATTGCTTTGCTATGTACATGTTTCTCTCTTCATGAACATTACTAAGGTTGCCTACTTCATGTTTTTCACCTGTTTGCTCTAACTTGGTATCCATAACTTCACAAATTGGTTGCATGATAGCAGAGACTGGAAAGCAGGAAGATGGTAAAATTCTAGAGATTATCAACAATGGTTGGAAATTCAGAGAAAGGGAAATAACGAATGAACAATTGGAAAGGTTTTCAGGCTGTAGAATATTAAAATATATTTGTAGTGGTAACAGGATGAAAAGGTGAGCCTAAAAAGGGGATGAATATAAGGTAGAAGTAAGAATTGATCCAAGATAATGCAGAGTTCCTTGGGTAGGGAAGGTGACGCTTTTTGTACAAAATCCACACTCGGAACTGTCCTTTCTGAGAAACTAACTAGGGAGGCCAACTAGCTTGTTGCAGAAAAGTATGTGTATATAAATACAGGTAGTATGTATACTTACAGGTAGAAATACACAAGACTGAGTGATAATAATGAGAAAGAACTTGAATGTATTTAATTACAGTGGGAATTTATTATTTTTAAAGAAGTCTTTAAGTGGGCTGTGAAATGCTTATTAAAAAGAGAGCCTTTGATGGACTGGGGGGAAAAAAAAAATTGCTAATTCAATTGTTGCCTTCTTTCCTCCTGTGCTTTGTCTTCTCTGCTTGTGGTAATGAGCCCAGGTATCGCAGGCGCTCACCTGCCTCACAGGCATTCAGAGGTAAGTGCTGAAGCCTTAGAATGGGAACTCCTATTTGGCCGCTTGGCCCCTGAGCCTGCTTCTTTCTTCCCAGTCTTGTGGTGTCGTCTGGTCTCATGGGAGGGAAGTGACTGGGGAGAATGACTTCAGGAGAGGCAGCGTGAGTGAGTAAGGGCTGAAGCATGCTCAGGGCTTTGGGGACGGGGGACGGGGTCTGGCTCTGCCCTTTTCCTGTCCCGAGAATGTAATCGAGAGTTTTGTCATTAACTGTTTGGAACAGGGCTTGATTGAACTGTCGGAAGCGTTTTGTACGGACAGTCGTGGGTATCTTTTGTCTTGACTTTCATTTTTACCACTCCCTGAAATCCTCCAGCGTAATAGAAAAATGACTTTAATTAGATGGTTAATGTCAGGTCCTTTAACATAATGTGGAAATAAAGATACAGACTATAGATATGTGCTTTTAGAATTTTTCTCTTGGCAACTCTGTGCCTTCCTTACACACCTGTATTCCAATTCGGCAGGTAGCAGATAGAGAGTGAAGAAGGATATGTTGTTTCCAGAAACTTGGTACACACTAAGGGAAGAAAGGGGCTTGTGAGCTGCATGGGTTCCAAGTCTCATTAACTGTCCTCAACTATAGGAAGTGATAGCATGAGAGAAGATGATGTAATTCAGATGCTTCTGGTGAAACTTCAGCAGTCTATGTGTGTTTACTATTAAATTTTTATTTTTATTATTATTTTATTACTATTTTATTATCTTTACCTGTGATAAAAATAAGCAGTTCAGTAAATTGTTGGCTCTGGAAAAAAAAAACCCATACAATAAGGCATATAGCTTTTGATCTGCTCTGCAATAATTTATGAATACGGTACTTACTCGCCTCTATAGTAGCGTTCCTCCTGTATGAGCAGTTTCTGTGATAGGGTACTACTGGAGCAAGGGGAAAGCATGAAAAAGGAAGGGCTTAACGTAAGCCATTTCTCAGCAGTAACTACGAGTTGTAGGTCTCCTGTCTGCACCAAAACTCAGTAAGTTTTAAAATGAAACAGTCTCAAAGAGAATTGTTCTTTGAAACTAGGAAAGGCACAGGAACTGTTAGTTTTTAAAGATATCGGATATAGCTCAACCTACTTAGTTCCAGGCTGTCTTAATTAACTGTTGGGGGAAATAAGTCTTTAGGACAGATTGCCATATGAATATTTATTTTAAAAATACTCGGGGGAGGGGCAGGGGGGGAAGTAACTGCTGTGGCCGGTTGAATAAAATTTTTAACAAGGTGGTCTTGTCACCGTACCACGTGGTCATGGACTCTGAGGATGCCAGGTGCTGCAACCTGACCGACGAGCGGTGTTACAGAAGGAAGCGCTGCGGTGCCGAGTACGCGAGATGCAACGGACTCGTGCCAGTCTGAGGTACGAGAGTGCCATGTTGCGCGTCGGAAGGAGTTGAGGCAGAAGGTGTCGTTTCTCACAGCGTGCACTTTGAGAGACCAGGAAAGGGAACTATTGCATGCATTTCAGATGTCTTTGTCCAAAATGGCTTTTGATAGTTTTCACTGTGCATGTACCTTTTCAAGTCAAGCCACTGTTCCTTCTACCATTAATTGCCCAATCTGGCAACGTAACGTTGTACCTTAGTATTTGATGATATCTCCTTCATCAGTTCAAAACACAATACAAAAAGGAAGTTCCTGTTCCATTATTTGAACAATGTGGTTAGCAGGCTTCCGGACAGGCCCACGTTTCTCAGAAGTCTTATGAAATGGTAAACAAGCTCCGATTTGTCATGTGTATTACTTGATTGAGCTGAAAAAAGTGCTCCAAAAACGTTGAGCTTTTACTCTTAGGATCTTCCGTATTCTTTTATGAATAATGGGAAATAATTGAAATAAAAACTATAAAACTATAAAAAACCCTAAACTATAAAAAAAAAAATTAAGGCTCATACCTGACATGCATCTGGTAACTTAAAAATTAAAGTATTTTCTGTCACAAAGATCAGAGGTTGGTGTCATTGTGATCTGACACCTATGTAAATCTGAAGTTATTTGCATTGATAAAGTTGATTTTTGGGTTACAGTGAGTAAGAACAGAATGTGAACACTGCATGAGGAAGAAATGAAAAAGCTGCATTACTAAAACCAAAAGTTCTTGTTAGCTTAGCATCCTTGATCTTTTGCAGCATTCGTAGGTAAAGCATTCTTCCTTCATTATAAAACGAAGAACACAAACACAGGTTTAAACTTCATTTATTGAAAATCTCCAAGTTTTGCATCATTTTATTCAACATCTGCAAGTCTTAAAACATTTAATTCTGAATAAAAAGTCCATTAAGAAAAAAATTTAGATTTATATTCTTTGTAAATTTTATACAATCAAAAGCAATCTACTCTTCAAAATCCAAATGGAATTTTATTTAGCTGCAAGTTTAAATGCCAAATCCTTCACCTACGATAAACATATTCCAGCTGCCAAAGTCAAAGCACAGTTACCTTTCTAGTTATTCTGTTCAGTTTTTCTATAATGAACCTTGAATGGGGAGAAAATACAGTCAGAGCTCTTAGTTGCAAAATAATAATTTCTTCCAGCTGAACTCTGCTGACAATTGTTGTGTTATTTTCCTTCTACCAGAAACTGCTATTTGTAATTGGAGAAACTGCTGCAGTTCAGCCTTGGGTCTTTGCTTAGAGAAGTCTGCGTTCATTAGCAGCGTAAGCTAATACATCGTACTGTTTCGCTACTGGATGTGTAACTGCTGTCGGAGAGGCACAGCAGAGCAGCTGGGGAACCTAATCCCTTGAGGTGCCCTTGGAAGACTTGGCAGAACTCATCTGTTGCAGGTCTAAGCCGAAATCTAGTAGCTTTAATATAAGAGGTAGATGTCTTAGTCACAGCTTTGCAGAGCTGGTTCAGTGTTTTGCAGATGGGTTGCAGCATTGTACTTACAGTGATGCAAGCAAAGATAGATCTCCTCTTCTACCAAAATGGGCAGAGCCCAAAGAATCTTATTTGCCTGTCCTGAAGGGACCTGATCAAAACTTTGGAAGTTGACTTCAGTGAGCTCTGGCTTATGCCCTGATGTAGATACGTGGTGTATTGGTACTGGGAGATGTACAGGGAGATGGCAGAAAAATATTATTTGCCACTCTAAAAGAAAGAATCAATTTTTCCTAGACTCTGTCCTGATCACAGAAATAAGCTTTCTAATTCCAAGTAGTTTAGAATCGAAAGCATCATGTGGAAAAAGAAGATATGCAGAACCCTAAAGGGAAACAATCTTATTTTGGACACAGCTTTGCAGAAAGAAAAAGTTGCTCAACAGCCTTTGGAGCCCTCTACAACAAGCTGCGTAAGGAATAATACTTTTGCTTACAAAAACTATTTAGAAATATTATTGCTAGGTCCCATTGTTTGAAGCTGAAGTGCTGTTTCTATGTACTGTAGCCCTTGCTAGCATCTGCTTCGTTTGAACAAAGTGTTTCTTCATGCATCTGTTGACCCTGTTTTATCTCTATAAAATAATTTTTAGTCACAGAAAGTCACAAAGTTGCAATTCTGCTGTTCATACCCATATGACCTGACAACAGGCAGAACACTAATACATACACTTTTTTTAAAACACTTTTTAAAAAAGTGTTTTTTAAGAAAGTGTTTTTTAAAAACACTTTTGTAATGAAATGTAGTTTAACGCATTTATACAGGAAATTCCAGTGACTTGGCACAGGGTAAAAATGACTAACTCTGAACCATTAAAAAAAAATTAATTCTCACACACCAGGGGTTTTGGTAAAGATTCTCCATACCCTCACTACACTGTTAAAAGCCACTTCATCTAGAAGTTACAAATTACTGATTTGAGGATAGCTTTACCTTAGTTAAGTGATATTACATATTCAGTTGATCCTAAAATTTGAAGCCTGTACTTATTGTTCATGTAATTCATGCCTTACTTATATAAATAGCTAGATATAGAAACACTGCTCATATGAACTGCATGTACTTACACAGCTAAAAGACTTGTGAAGGTGAGCAAAAAAGGGAAAGTTTAGGTGAATAGCTTTGGTTTTTCATGCCTATGTAAATCACCCTATTAACTGCTACATTAGTCATAAATGTAGTAGACAGAAAAAAAAAACCCAACTGGCAAATAAGAGGGATTTTGAGACCACAAAAATTAATGTTAAGGTAATGTTTTCACCTCCTCCCTTTATTAAAGGGAAAGAATAATATGAGAAATGATGTCTTGAAAATTATCTATTATATGAGGTTAGAGTAATTAAGAGTTCACAAACTATGCTTCAAGGCATGTGTGCATTTTTCTTTTGTATACCATGTAGTCACTTGTCTCTTGAATCTCATGTAACAGCCAAAAAGGAAAATAGGGTTGTACAACTACAGGACAGAAAGATTTATGAACAGGAATTGCACCTATTTTCTCCAATTCTTTTCAACACTGACTCAAGTTCACATTGATGGTGAACTTTTTTAAAGTGCTGATGTTAGTCATGTGTATATAAAAAAAGAGTTCTCATTTTGCTCTCACGTTAGCCCAGTGTTTCTCCAGGATGCCACAGAACAAAAGCTGAGGTTTTTTAAAAACACATAACTTTTTGAAGATAAATGACAGTAACTACAGACTACCCCTGTGGGCCCCAATCCTGTAAACACTTGGGCACATACGTAAATTCACTCAACATTTAACAGCAAATAAACCAATGTCTAAGTTACCATTTAAAATTTTATGTGAACATGAAAAAAATGACAGTATTAACATTACTTTGCATATGCACCAAGCATCCTGTGCACTATGCATAAGTTAGTCATTAACAATCATTTACAAATGCTACAAGTATAAAAAAAAATAGTTAGTAGCACTTGCAAAAATGGAAGAGCTTGGGGCACAGTATTCTGTTCATGTTAAAAAAACAAATGAACAAGACCACCACCAAAAATCAACCAAAAAGCCCAACGTGAATTGAAAACCTGATGTCTACTGCCTGTTCAAAAGAATGTGAAAGGTCATGGGTTTTTTTTTTTTCCTTTCCTGTAGGAGTTTATTGCTCCCCCTCTCCCCCCCCATACCTGTTAATATTGTTATGATCATACTGAATATTAAGTTCTACTTTTCCTCTTATCTTCAAAGAGACTTTTCAACATGTAAACCTGAACAGCTGATACCACCACCATTACTCCCAAGTTGACCATGGACCAGAAATTCACTCTGTCAAAGTTGCTTTCTTGTATGTTTCGGTCACGAGCCTCAAATGCTCTGAGCAGGGTCTGAATCTGGACGCTTTTGCTTAATCTGGCTTTCACACTGTTGATAGATTCCTGGTAAGTAACAAAAGAGTATTTTTAGAAGAAAAAAGAACACCTGAATTAAATTTATAGCTTGCAACACGTACAAAATATTAATACTATATTACCACCTGTAATTTAATTTCTTGCCAAGTAGACAGTTAATTTCACTTTAAAATATATACCTCATCACAGATTTTTCATTGATTTGTCTAGGCTGTTTATTGTAGATTACCTAAAAAGGCTTAGTTAACATAGCATTAAGGTTCTATAGTAATTTGGTTTTTCTCTTTTACAGGCTAGAGAGGTGAGAGAGAGAAATCAAACCTAAAATCATTTTTTTAATATTCCATGTATCTTGGGGAACTATGATTCCAGGTTTTCAGACAAGTAAAAAGCAGTTATCTCTACAGAACTATTTTCAAAACAAGTTATGTAGTAGCAGACAAATGTACATTTTTTTCTTTTTCTGCTGGATAATCAAATTAAGGCACTTTTTAATGCAAACTACCATCAGGACTATAGCTGTAGCAAAAGAAAAGAAGTACAGTAATGTTATATTCCCATCTTCTTATTATGCTTTCCCTGTAGCGTCTATAAACTGCTGCCTCAGCTTTGATACTAAAGCAGAATATTGATGACAAATTGTGAATAGGACAACCGGAGGTCCTACAAAGGACACACAGTGTGTCTCAGGGAACCAGAGGAAGTGCACGAGCACTCTGGCCATAACAACAGCAGCTCAAGATCCACTCCTTATTCTGCGTTTACAAAGTAAACACCTGGTCCTATAATCTGTTAAAGTTTCATCCACAACTTAATCAACAATCACAGCCTAAAAGCTGATCTCATGAAGTGCTGATTTATGTTCTTAATAGAATTATGTATAATTATGGCTCCCTGAAGGAACTTTCAGTGAGAAGAGTAATGTGTGCAGTAACAGGAGGCTATAAATTTAAGAAAAAAAAAAGTTAAACCCAGCAGTAATATTTTCTCCATGGACATTTTCTCTGTTGCATATTTAACAAATATTTCAAAAGAGCTATTTTGGAAGCCAAATATTTTTATGATGATACTGAAGTTCATATGTTACACAATAAGGAACATCAACACCGTAACAGAGCTTTAAAAATAAGACACAATTCCCCATTTTCCCCAGCAAATGTTGTTTATATTTAAAAAGTTAAACTACTAAGTGTTTATGTAAGTCCTCACAGAACTTCCAAGTAAAGTAATAACTTGACTAAGGAAACAATGGCATCAAATACTAATGTTAACTTTAAAAAAAATTACCTACTTCATAAGACCTGTGAGGCTCTTAAAGACAGACAAGTTCTGCATTTCTTTTTCTTTTGGAAGAGATACCAGTATGTACACACGTAGCTATCAAATCTGTTCAAGTATTGCTTGTTATTAGCGTGAGAGGGATTTTCTTCGCAATTTCCCCTATAAACTTTGTTTTTTCTAATTGCCTTGATTACCAATTTTAAAGAAGATCTGGCCAGTTTTTCAGATTCTGTTTTTGGTTTTAACTATTTAAAAGTGTATCATACACCTATAAAAGACTTTCAACATTAAATTTGTTTTGTTGTTTAAAAATCTGCATTTTGTTTATTGCAATAAATAGAATACAAACAATGTCATTCTCTGCACCAGTGTATTCAGTTAGTGTTTGTGGATGTTGGTTTGGTGGGGGTTTTTGTGTTTTGTGGGTTTTTTCTTTTTTTTTTAAGATACCTGTTGTCTGTAGCTTTGAGCAAACAAAATGACTTATTGCATCCTACCAAGCCCTAAGAACAGTGGTACAGAAACACCAAACAATCCTCTGCTTCTAAAGTAATCTCAACATTTAACGATCATGAGAGGATATAAAAGCTTTGACTTGGCAGTTGTCTTCATCCTATACCAAACAGAGTCAGCATACAGTTTAAGCAAACATTACCATTCATACAATGTCTGCAAGGGTGAACCTGCAGTGTAGTACAGATTAACTCCTGTCCTGTTTATTAGTTTGAAAAGATGAAATAAAATTTTGGGGGAAAAAACCTAATAAAGTAATACATAAATTATTGAAGATAAAAATATTAATCCATACACTGTTTGGGGCACTCCTGCGAAGATGGGAAGAAAAGGCTAACGCAGTACTTTATTTTCAAACATGGATAAAAAAAAATCTATGCAGTGATTCCAGCTACATCACTGGGATTAAGCAATACTTTAATACTATAAATATTCATTTCATTGCTGCTAGGGAAAAATGTCCCATTTTAGCAGTAGGAAGAAAGGAAGCTGAATTGGTTGGAAACAGAGTGGCTTTCAGAGCTAGGCAGTTTCTTCCTGCTGCTTAAGGGTCTATTCTGAAAATATTCTCAAGCTTCTGTGTGGAAGCAAGAGATGCATGGTGCTAGACTTCGTGTATCAGTAAAAGCAATATATGGAACTGGAATAATTTCCAGGATGATGCACCAGACCAAGGCAGAATGGCTAAATGACATTGCATTTTTTTCTGAATGTTCTTACACTGAAAAGAATTAAAGATCAAATACCAACCAGAATGTCTTCCAATTTCATATCTAGGAGATCTGTGCCTGTAACATACTTCTTCCAGTCTTCCTGATCTTGTCCATCTTCTCCCATATTGTCCAGGATCAGTTCAAAGAAAATCACCTTTTCAGAAATGGTACTGAATGTGTTGTCAAAGCAGAACATGTAATCCCCATCTTCTGTTTCCACCCTGTGTATGTAAGCAAAATGTCATTAAGTTAACTACACTTTTTGTGCTGGTTCTCAAAAAGCACATTTTGTAAGCAAGCTTTACTCTTAAAGACTGATAATCACGCACTTAGAAATAATTAAATATGCTTTTTATATAAAAATAAGAGCTCTAAAGACACATTACAGATTGCACAGTCACAGCAAAACAATCCCACTAACTCTAAAGGCTTATAATGATGAAGACAGCAGCTTACTTTCATTTTCCTTTATTGGGATTTTGAATCGTTAATCATTACAAAAAAGCTGTAATATGAGTGGAATTCTTATCTCCTACAGTAAAATTACAATAATTACTACATATTTTGATAAAAGGACTGGAAAAACAGGGGACTTTTCAGCTTATTATTTATACGACCGACAAGATCTTTTCATATTAGATGTGGGCACCTTTTTCAACTCCACAATAATTATTTTTGTTCACTGACCATTAACAGCTATCATTAAAACAAAAATATCCTTCACTTCATGGTAAGATCCATGTAAAAAGCATACAGTGTTTATATAAAAAGGTAATTGGTATTCTCAAACTGTCCTATTTATTAGAAAATCTTCTGTAATGCTAAGGAATAAAAAGTACTCAACATTTATTTTAGTTGTATTTGTTAAAGAAACCAGAAAAATACTTTATGTAACACTTCTAAGTTTGAAGATTTTAAACTTACGTATGAACTCCATCTGATTTTCTTTCATCAAAAACTAGAGTTTCACCATTTGGAGACAGTAGATGAAAATCAACATCTAATCCTGCTCCATCTAGAACCTGTGAAACAAACAAACAAACAAAAACCCTCCAACCAGTGGAATTCCTGTTTGCATTGCTGATGCAACGTTTTTAGGGAAGGCAAACATTTTTAGGTAAGGGAACTGAAACAGAAAGAATCTGAAAGCTGAATCTGTCTGTATGAGTTCAGACCAAGTTAATCGGAAACAGATTAAAAACTGGTTCAACCCAAAAGCACTTTAGCCACTTCAAATCTTAAACTAAATATGATCTAATCATGCTAGGCTAGGCTTATATTGAACCTTTCCCTAATTGTTTTTAAGAATGCATACAATTTTATCAATGGGCAGGGTTAGACAACCTGTAAGAATACCAACAGATGTCTGAATCTAGCATTTCTATGGCAGACGTCATTGATAGGTAAGTACCCCAGTGCTAGTTCAGTGGTAGAAAATAAATTTTATAACAAAGATCTGTCACTTTTATGTATAGACATATATATATTTGTACAAGAACACAATCTATGCAGTGTCATCCTAGATCTCTTTGTTGAGTGAATTTTGTGTCAAAGACAGGAATAGACTTCTTATGCCAATCAAAGCTGTACCACAGACCTCACCTTTTAATGCAGATTTAAGGTCTGAATTCTCCCAGGGCACTCTCATTTCCCAAAGGTAGAGGGAATTGAAGGCATTTCACTTCCTAAGCTCGTAACTATACAGTATTACAAAGCCGTGCTGCTTTACCTGTGTAACATGGCTACAGTTGTATCACCACAGCTGTTGTGTCGCAGAAATTCTCTATAGGGAAGGTAGTAACTGCATAATGGGGCAGAGGGGGATCATTTTTATGGCACTACTTAGGTCCACACTAGGGAATTTTTTGTTTGCTCATTTTCCAGTGAGCTATTTGAGTACAGCAATCTGCTCCTGCTGAAATGGAGGGCAAAGTTTACACTGACTTAAAGTGACACTGGAGACTTACCAAAAAAAGAGAAAGGACAAAGAAAATTAGTAGCTAACAGCTGATCAAATTAAAAAACATACACAGTGATATATCTTTAGGGCTATGACATAATTTAAACATTCAGAACAAAACTTCATACCAGCACAGTGTTTATTGCGTTATGTCTTTGGAGAATGACCTGCATCTCTACGTTAAATATTCCTATGCTTTAGCCACTAACAATTCAGGATAATTACATACAAAATAAATCTATTTCCAATAACATTCAGAGCTCCTTTTCTACACATTCAAATAGAAAGATGAATAGTTACTGTTAGTAGTAGCGCTGTGACATTGATGCCTGAGTAGAAATAAATTCACTGTTATACACATTTGTTCTAAAATAAAATTTTTACTTTGAAAATGATTAAAATAAAAAAATACTTGGTCAGTGCAAAATAAACTTCTGCTTTGCTTAGACAGGGCTCTGAACAAAGCTTGAACACTTCAATCTTTCATTCTTGTTCAGTTCCGCATGTAACAATAATTAGAAAATAATCAGGAATTTCAGTTTTGTATTTTTAGTTGGTGAGC